TGTGTGTACGTGTGACTATCTGGCAGTGTGCTAATGCTTATTGCACAATTGGCCAACTAGCTATTTGCTAATCAGGAACTGACCGCCAATTACAGCAGTCAAGATCACCATCAGTCAAATGTTGAACGCCCTAAATCTGCTGCAACATGCAACATTCAAAAGGTAAACAGCAAGCTTTCCTTGTTGTTTGTGTGCAACACATTTTTGTCATTACCATGAACGCAACTATATATTTTAACTACAAAATGAAGTAAATTGCATGCCAATTGCACAATATTTATTGTATATTTAAACTGTTGTTGTAATAAAAATAATGACGCGTAAAACAACAAGTAATGCGCTTAATTATTTAATCGTGAAATTTTGCTGAAAATAAAGTAATTATCCTATCGGCTATGAACGAGTTTTGACGCACCCTATTCGCTTTTTTTCGTGATTTTGGCTTTTCAGGAAAAAATTGGGATATGTGTAGATTTTGAACTACTTAAGCTGTTATATGTAAGTGATTTTCTTTATAAATAATTTAACAACTACATATCCATAATGTTATATAAGGTCATTACAACGACTTGCACAACGACTTGACAGCATTTCCTGCAAAACTCTTTTGGTCAGCAGCTTTTGTACACATTTCTATACTGTAGTTAATATGCAACACACCCTAATGCTGGTACAAGAGAATCCCATTAGTCGCAATACTGTTGAGGTACCTGCTGATATCCATTACCTTACGTATTCTTCGCTTAAGACAACAAGAGAAAAGTAAAACTTCAAAGGCCCTTAGCTGCAATTGCCTACTAAGCTGCCAATGGCTGTGTGCGATACCTACATACTAGGGATGTTGCGAATGTGGAATTTTAGACATCCGCGAATGCGAATGCGGATGCGCTTACCAGCCAAACCAGATGTGTCAGGTTTTTCTAAAGCTTTTTAAAAAGAACTATTCATTCTCATTCGTTTGGCTGTTTCACAATTTGGGGGAACTTGTAACATACTTTTTTCTGCTACTGTATTGAAAAATTTGTGCTTATAGCGAGCTAAATAGGTGGATATGGCAAATAAATTACAATTTTCCAGGAATGAAAATTTTGAGCAAAATTCTGTTTTCAAAGTCGTGGCTGCCGGCCGAATCGGATCATTTTTTTTTCAAAGCACTCTGCTTTTTTAGAAGCATTTGAATTATTGGCATCACGGATGATGGGACTCTCAGATACTAACGTAATTCTTACCTAATTAAAGAAGGTCAAACCTTTAAGCTTTTTAATTATTTGAGCATCGATTCTCTTTAAATCCAGACGTTGACCATTTCTGCTGGAAATCCCTATTGATGGAGCTTACTCTTTGATTTTAAATAGCAAAGAAGGGAGACGTAGGGGGACAGTTTTACCACAGAAGTTTTTAGCCAAGGATCCAATATATATCCCTATGAAACAAATATTGCTTGACAAGTAAAAAAAATACTGTTTTTAAAATTTTTGCTAAAAATAAATTCCCCAAAGAGCCCCATTTGAAATGATTGAAACCAATATATTGTCACCTGAAATGCAAAATATATACATATATTTTTTTCATAAAATGTTGTGGGGAGTTGTAATTCGTTGAAACCCATCCATATAAATCAAAAAGTGTATTTTGAATTTTTTATTAGCTATGACTTTTTGCATTTCAGCTATGATGTTTGTTACGTCCTTTTGCATTTTAGAAAGAGACAAATGCAGGTATTTAAAGCATTTGGCGTATGTCAAAGGTCAAGTAGAAGTGGAAACTTGTACGACTGCCCATTGACAGCTCGGTTATATAGCTTAAGAATTAATATGTTTAAAGACATTTTTATCAAATTTGATAAATATATCATTTAACCAGTTTTGGTACACAAATACTCCCACGACCACAGACAAAAAATATTGGCTACAATTTGTCATTTTGTTTGCCAGATATAGGTACGTTTTATAGGTACACTTGCAAAACATTCGCATTCGCAATAGCTCCGCATTGATTATTGCGAATGCGAAAGCGAATGCGAATGCTAATATTCGCAACTACCCTGCTACATACATACACACGAGTAATTAGTATGGTGCATTGGATTTGTCTGGATTAACGATATTTAACTACTTCGAATTCGCCATGCAAACTACTCCCAATTAATTTGAATTTAACTACTGCAGTCCAACCCAATGATTGCAGTATGCCTGCTTGTAATTGATATGGGATTTGTATATTATAGGATTTTTATTATTGGTTTCCGCTTTTCTCCCGTTAGTTGTAAGTTTGCATTGTTGCACATGAAGGTTTCGGGTGCGTTTTTATATGTAGACATTGTCAGCTTGGAGTTCAGAGTACATTTTTTTGATATCTCTTTCTATTTACAATATGAGTTAGGCGTAAAGTTTTGCATTCTTGTGTAAGTAAAGCCCTTTTCAACATCGAGGATAACTAAAACTTCACGCCAAGCTATTGTGCGCACAGAGGAATATTTCAGAAAAAGCACTCTCACTTTGAAGCTGACAGTGTAAATGCTGATATTAGGAAAAAACCAGCCTTCTAGCAAGGTCTTTGCCAGGTTTCCACCATTTTTTTTTCTGGTACAGCCCATTGACAGCAGAGTGGTGATGTGCATTTCTCTGCAAGCAGCAGCTGCACGACACTTTTCTTAAACACGCTGTTCCTGTGCGGTTGAAAGTATGTTTTAGTAGTGAACCGCAGCGGTGCGAAGAGATTTGGAGATCGATTCTCATTGCTCATTTATATCCGGTCGATGAGAAGTTTATTGTTTAAAGAGGATTCAGAGTCGATTGTTGGACCGAATATGTATAGCTTTCATGCGGCCTGTGGAGATTCGTTCAGTGATGGGGGTTGTTGAAGCGCTGGTGTATTTCCCATACAAAACCAAATGCAGCGAACACACACGCACATGCGCGTAAGAGGTTATGAATTTTTTATGCAATTCTCAAATATCTCCGCGTTGAACTTATTGAATTAACAAGTCGCTGGCATGATGCACATCAAACGATCGTCAATGCTTCTTTGCTTGGCGCCTCGGCCGCACTCGATTACCGGCGCAATTTTTGAACTTGGTATAGGCTAAGGCCTGCAAGCCATCCAGGGCTCTGCATGTATGCATGAAGATGTGGCAATTTTATGGTGACCATTGGCTAAGCACGCCTACCCGGACCCTGAAAAAGTAAATTCCAGCTCCGTTGGGTACTCCAGTTAGAGCAATACTTCTCCAATGGAGTCTTCAACCAGTGTACCCGTTTTTGAGCTCTTTTCCTCTTATTAGGTCGGTAGTTAAATGGAATTTCGGTATGTTTTGATCACGCTTAGAAAGAGAACATATCGCAAACGTTCTTCAAAAATTTTGGAATGCAAAATATGCGATTTTTGATATCATTCCTAATGAACAAATCATACCTATGTACGTATGTACATTAGCGTGGTCCTTAAATGTAGGAAGCAAGTTTTTGAAGATACTACATAAAAACTTTGGTCCCGATTGGAGAGGGCCAAGTTCAGATTGCTCTATGGAGACTCAAAAAACCCTTTGCTAGAAGAGTTTTTTTTTTGCTAAATCAACCTGCCTCCCATTTTCATTATTTTAGGGACTTTCCCAATTACTGGCCACAATTTTTTCTCTTTTTGCACGAGCAACGAATTACAGAACTGTCTTGATTGAAAATGTATCCTGAAATGTCTCCTTTTAAACGCACGTCAATTGGATTAGTGTTACCAGATGTATGGGCATCAACACAAATCCAAAAATGACAAAAATTCGCAAAAGTCTCTTCATATGACCAATGCAAAAAAGTTGTCGTTGACTTTCTCACGCATTTTGAATATTTTTTTTTTAAATTATAAGAATTTTATGTAACGTGTAAATAACTTCAAGAGGGTTCCACAAAACGGAAGTTCCATTACCCAATTCGACCCTGTTGTGTTTTTTGTGCTTCTCAGTTCTCTGGCGTATCGAATTTCAATCAATACACAACACAAGAATATACACAAATGTTAAGGTTATATCAAACAAATGAAAAACTCGGTAAGCAAGAATAAAAAATGCCGCAAAATCTGCACAAGCAAGACACTATTGCGCAAGTGGAAATGAAAGAATAATAACTATTATTCATATTGAAAAGAAAAACAAAAACAAAAAAAAATATTTCGTCAACTATGTATTACAACCTTGCAAGTCACTTGCCAGGTATTTATGTACTATGTACGTATGTACCTATGTAAGCAATCCTTTGGGAAATAGAGTCGGCTTGAAATGACTTTGCCAGACTTGCAGTTTGGGCTTTGCAGTCGAGGCCACTGACTGATGTGCAAACAACGCCGCCTCACCGGCAAATCCAATTGCATTGAAGGCGTCTTCGCGAGTGTGGATTGCATGTGGAATTTGAAATTCTGCAGCCACCACCACCGTTGCAGTGCAGGAGGAGCGCAGAGAGCAATAAGAGAAGGTGCGCCAGTGGCATGCACTGCGTCGCAGTCTGAGTTGAGAGTCGCTGCAACGAGTATGCATTCGATGCTGATAAGATGGTTCTGCCAGCGTCGCAGCCATGGTTAAAGCTGCGAATAACATTATCACATTGTTGCTATTATTTTGCGGACACCAATTAATCGTCGTCGTTGGTGCAAAGTTCAATGCCGCGGCTTCAAAAATGTACCCACACTCTGAGCAAACTACGAGTAAATTGATAAGCAAACAAAAATTCAACTGATACCTAAGAATAGAACAAATGAGCTGAGCGGCCCATAAGTGAGAGTGACTGCCGGCTGCCCATATCGGGGGAGCCAGTGGAGTTCGCTCGCCACTGTCAATGCAAACGAAAGCAGCCAGCAACGTGGCAGCAACACGTTTGAGCTTCAATTGCTGCTTCATTGCTCTGCGGCAATGTTTTTCCGCTGCGCGGTTGTTGCTGCTGCTACTGCTGCTGCTGCATTGCTGGTAAGTGGTTTTGCTGTGTGCGGCTGGGTATACTCGAGTCGTATGCTGCGTCGGCTTATTCAGTCGTTGACTGGACGTGCTGCCGATAACAACGTTTCTTGATTGTTTTCCACGGCTTTTTGGATGAACATAAAGTTTTTAAACATACAGAGTTCTTCATTCTTGCTCTGTGCTAGCTTTGCGTGCGCGTCGATTGTGATTTTATATACCTTTTCCATTATTGTGCTTTTTTATGAAACTTACTGGCGCATCAACAGCGCAATCGGTAAACCAGTTCGCCTCTGCTTTAGGCGGATGGACGGACGGACGGGCGGATATATACTATACATATGTATGTATATATGTACATTGGGAAACGAGTAATCAGTGCAGCTGTGAGTGAATGTTGGAATAGCGAAGCGCGTTGAAAAGAAAGAATTTATGCTATGCTAGGCATTACTGTTGCGGTTTTAAGTGAGGTTTTTTTTTTGTTTAGTGATGGTGTATTGAATTATTGTTGTTGTACACTTAGCATACCTGTGCAATAAATGAAAGAAAAAAAAAACAAAAGCAAACGATTTTTGAAACGATTTGGTCAACATGACAATAAGAACAACTGTGCAAAGAAGAATAACGAACAAATTCAAATTCGATTCCAATTATTTCATGCTATCCAAACTGTTTCCGTGGCAGGTAGTTTGACAGAGTTTTATGTATTGTGCGATTGCCTTGCTTTTGTATTCCAGTTGCCGTGTCGATGTGGATTAACTTCTGTTCTGTGTTGAGTGTAAAAACCTGATGTACATAATAAGAAAGGCACATAAAACAGAAACTGAATCATAAACAGCATACAAAAACAAAAGCAACAAAAAGTGAACTGCAGTTGATTAAAATCCAGCTGGAAGCTGCATTGTTCTCGTTCTCGATCTGCGCGATCTCCTCTCTGCATTCGTCTGGGGTTCGCAGTACTTTGGACAGCCGTACAGTTGTTGGTTGGGTATCTGCTGGCTGCTGCCAGTCGCCCGTCTCAGCAATTCTTTCAGCCTTCAAGGCAAACCAGCAGTGCGTTGACTTGGATCTTGCATCTTTCAACTCGGATCTGTATTGGATTCTCGTTTTGCTGCAGGCGTTTAGCTGCCGTATACCGATTCTGTATCTTTTTACCTGTCTGCCATTTATCGCACTTGCCTCGCTGCACGTATAAACCTTGCACGGCGCGCGCCCTCTTGCCTCTTGCGCCCTCTGCGCATCATAGCCCTTGCTGTGTGCGCGCGATCCATGGCAGTCAAACCAGATGTACCAAAAGCGTAGCTAAACCAACTTGTTGTGTGCGTGGTCTGTCGTTAATTACTAAATACTTGCCAATAGCATCAGCCGCCACACCAGCAGTACTCTGCACAAACAGGAAAACTTTGCATCATTTTTGTGTTATTTTTTTCAATTTTCTTCGCAGTGTTCTTCTTATAGTGTTTGGTATTTGAAAATAACGGCAAAGAGAGCTGAGTACGTTTCGCAAAAATTGCGCACGCAAAATGTGAACAGTCTTTGCTTACTTAAATTGTTTCGCATCTGCCTTCAATAAGCAAAATACAAATAAATGAGTGAGTACAAATGTGTAGAGCGCGCCGCGTGCAACACGCCTGCGCGCATCCCCTCCACAGAGAAGCCAAGCAAATCGTTCTGCTCGCTAGCCTATCTGGCCAAGTCCACTGTCGCCATAAATAGCAGCAGCGATGTAAGAATTGTAAAGGGGCCCGGCTACAAGGCACTCAACTCTAGCGCGCCGCACACGCCGAATGTTGCAGCTACCGCGAAAGTGAATGAGCGCGGCTCACCTGGTTTACCGACGGGTGCGGCGACAGCAATCAACAACCATGAAGACAACAATAGTCAGCCTAAAGATGCGCCCTTGACTACGACGACGGCAAGTGCAGTCAGCGGACAGGCCAACAAGGACAATGCGCAAGTGGAGCTGAATGCAGGCGATGTCGATGCCGATGTGTTTGGTGTAATCAATGAAGAGGACGCTACTGATCCTGCTATTGACCAGTTAGATGGCGTCGATGTGCGACGTCCATGGGAACTAGGCGCACAAAATGGCTTTGTACGCCGCATTCCGCCCGCGCTAATGACACCCGCAAACACACAGAATGGCTATCAACATGGCCCAAATGGGTTGGCATCACTGTCGAAATTGAATAGTATGGACTGCTGGGATTACACCATCGAACTGGAATGCCTTAATGGACCGCAAGGTTAGTGGGTGGGTGTGGGTGTGACCCTTTGGGAGCAAAAAATTAAAAATGTTTTAGATTTTGCATTTTATGTATCTATCTATCTGTTGTCAAGTGGTCTCCCCTAAATGATTCATCTCAACCACTAAATATGCTTGCATCTCTGGCTTCTGGTGATGAATATTCGTTATTAACTCTGTACTGCAACGGGAAAAAATCTACGCTTTAAGTGCTTTACTTTTTATACCCAATGTCTTAGTACTTGACGCCAGCAGATCCTTACTTTGCATCCATCAACGCTCAAACGAGTATTTTCTAAAGAAATTTTTTTAATGAAAATTTTAACTTTCAGAGTTACAAATAACATATATAATATAATAATAATATAGAAAGGCCCTAACTCATATAGTCGCTGAAATGAAAAAAAGCCGTAACTGCTTAAAATTTTTTATTGCTGAAAATAATGTGGGGGCTTACAATTCAATGAAATACGTACATAATAATCAATCAAAACGGGAATTTTGGCGACTTATACATATACATACTATTTTCAAAAAAATAAAATACACGAAAATTACCCTTAATTAAGCCTAAAAATTTTGATGGGATTCATAAAATAGAGCAAAAATTAAGACACGCAGGCAGACTCATATATGTATGTATGTATGTATATAAATAGTGTATGCGTATGTACGTGTATTTCAATAAATATTTTGTAAAATTGCAAATATTAATTTGTTGACTGTTGCCCTAGTTTCGCGTGAGCTTTATAAAGTGTTATAACTCTCCCCGACACTTTGTTGCCCTTAGACAAATATGTGCCAACATAAAGTAGTATTTATTTATTAAAACATATTGGACATTGCGTTGGGAGTGGCTTTTGCCTTTGTTTTATTTTACATTGCAACAACTTTAAATTATTTTGTACTAATTAAATGATGGTGGGAAGATCTCCATTTTTAATTATCACCTCATTAATGTAAATAATTCGCTAGTGTTGCGTAGATCTATGAATTTTTATGAATAATTAATGCGGCGTGAAGTGCAAGCATTCATTGTGTTCCCCAATTAGCTTCAATGGTGATCGGGGCGATCGGAATAATTGTGTTTGCATGTATGCATGCAGTATGTAGGCTTGTATGTGCATGTATGCATGCATTTCGCGTGAATTTTACCCAATTAAGTGTTGTTACAACTCTATTGCAATTTGTCTTTCTAATTTTTCCTTAGAAAAGTTTGAAGATTTCTAATATTTCTCACGGAAATTTATAAGTGACAGGTGACCCAGTCAAACTTGCTTACTAACACGCTGTTGCTGTGTTGAAATGGAAATGTTTACAAGTTGCTGCCAATTATAATTATTATTTTTTTTTTTTTTACAAAATAGAAAGTACTACTTTTCCTGCATTAAGAAAAATATTCTTTCATCACATAAATTATTTACAGTTATTACTATATTTTCTGGTGAATTACATGCATAGCTATTTAACTAATTTACATTATTTGGTTTTGGAAGTTTTT